CCCTGCCACAGCTGCCCTTGGGGCAGCTGCTTGCCCTAGGATACAGCTTTCTGCGTGGGCATCGCTCGCTTAGGTATGGCGCTGCTGTGATTAGGCTTTAGTCTTCACTGTGTTGTCAGGGAGAGGTATGAGGAGATACTGCAGTTTTGGTGGTGCAGATGCAGCATGAATTCTTAAGTCGGCCATTATATTAGCATAGCTTGCCGTTAGAAAAGGGATATTAATGAAAAAATACATTTAAACACATCATTTTTTATGAATCAAGGCCACAAGAGTTGCAGGCGCAACGCATACTAGAAACAAAGAAGCCAGTTCTTTCCCAGAAAACTTTGTCAGTTGAAACTTCACAGACAACATGAGAGGATGCGCTTTAGGGAAGGAAAGCAAATCATTTAGAAACAAAAAAAAGAAATCCTTTCACTGATATGAAAAACAAAAACAAAAACAAACCAGTACTCTTGAATGGGAACACACTGCTTGCTTGTATTTTTCCTCTAGTCTACCAATCTGCATTTCCATTTGTACACAGAGAGCACAAATATATGCATATAGGCAAAATATTTGTTTCTTTCTTTATTGAACAATAGGTAATACTTCTACTTACGGGCTGCATATCCTTTTTGCCACTACCTTCAGCAAGGCTTGTATTACTTTCTTTCACACACTGGAGATTCTCATAGTACTTTCTCCATGCCCCTTACATACCCTCCTGCCACTTCGTCTACTCCTGCTTCCAATGCATTTTCCTATCTTTGGCTGAGTTAGAAGCAGAAGAAAGATGTGGAAGGCTAAGTATAAAAATGATGGGAGGAGGGGGAGGATAAAGCGAGAAGTGGAATTTGCTTTGCTTTGTTTGTATGTGATTACTCTGCACCGCTCTTTCAACAAGGCTTGCTTTTGCTCATCCCAGTCCGACAGAGCTGTTCTTGGCCTGGAGTGACCTCCTGCTGCTGGCAGTCACATCTTCCTCTGACTTTCTCTACTTCCTCTACTCAAGAGCTCAGTGCTGCCCTGCTCTGTCGCTTGCTTGTGTTAATACATACCGCACTGCAAAATGTATTACTCCATTAATCACTTGGGTTGGTTAACAAAAAGGTTAATAGTCTTACTTTGCTATCTTGAGTGGATTTGTCTCCATATTCAGAGCATTCAAAGAACTACAGGCTATGATTAAGCTACAGAGGAGTTCCATTATTACCTTGTTGTCCATTTGTTCAAAGCTTTCTGAAAATGTCACCTTTGGAGCTGAAATTTCCTGTGTCCAGTAAAAACTCTTAACATTCCAGGAAGTCACCGTCTGAGCACAAAAAGCTGTCGTGTAGAGAATTCGGGTTATGTTTAAAGCACAAAGCAAGACTTACATTTTAGTTTTAATGCTTTCAAATAAAATACCTGCTCCAAACTCACATGTTCCTGAGAGACAGAGCTGCTTGTTCAGCTGCTGGCACACATAGGGAACGAGTTTGTGGAGCAGCTGCTGCTAACACCAAGAACCTCGTGTCCAGCTTTAGCAGCCCTTCAGAGCTGCTCCTCAGTTCCCAGCCCTGTTTTGTTCCACTGTTCTTCCTACTCAGGGCTTCCTGTGCAACAGAAATTACCTGAGGTCACCTGTGGTGGTTCTCCTGCCATGCAGCTCACTCCATTTCCACAGTGTTTGTCTCATCTTCGACGTGCTGCTGTGGCTAGTGAGCTCTTGGCCACAGCAGGCTCACCAAAGGGGCTGGTTACCCCCTGACATGAACATGGCTTAGAGCTTTGTTTTGGTAGGTGCAAGCAAAATCGACACTAACATTAAGACATGTTTGGAGACAGAGATGAGAAAGACCTACCAGTGCAGGTTGGTACCCTTAAAACGTAGTCTCAAAGTCAGGATTATAGATCACCGTGTGACATAAAAAGCCCATCCAGAACTAAGTAATCTGGCTTTCTTGAGGTTATCCATTCATAACCTCGCATACTTGGAGGGAAGGATAGAATAAATTTGGCCATCTGCAAAGCTGTATGTTTTACCTTAGTTTCCTGTTGATGGCTGCTTAATTCTCTCCCTCTCCCACTCAGGATATTAGTATTTGCTTTTAACATCTGCAGTTTAGTACATTAACAAAGAATGAGCTTCTTGGGCAAAATAAACTTCCAGCAGCTCACCAACCCTCCCTCTACCATTGTATGCTCTTAATTCAGCTGCTGAGGCAGTGATAGGTGGAGTTTTTTAAGCCTCAAAAAGTTACTCATCTTCTCATCAGTAATTGTTCCCTATTAATATTCTTGAAATTAATTTTTCCCAATCCATTTTCCTTAATTTCTAGTCAGTTAAGAAACTCATCTGAAATCCCTTCCATAGTGCATCTGTGGACTGGGAACCTGGTTGCTATCAGACTCTGGACTGGCCAAAATGCAGGGATGAAGAAGAGGTGATAAAAGGTCTGTGGTCTTGCCATGTCATGGCAAAGAAAAGATAGATTATTTTCTTCCTTTCAGTGGCGCATAAATGATAAGCTCTTTACTTTTCCTGGATCAGCTTTCCTCATTTTAAACTGTGTCAATAAGCAAAGTAGAATCAACAGGATAAAAGGAAAGCGCTCATAGATTCATGAAGTACTCATCAACTCAGGAAAGAATTTGGATGAAGGTTTAAGGCAGTGAAGCAGGGGAAAAAATGACCACCAAAAAGCAAACTATGGAAAAGGACAAAGCTAACACGACTTCTCTTTGGAAAAGTGGCCATATAGCAGGGCCAGAGGAGGATGCAGTAAGGCAGAGCAGCAAAAGCATTTGTGTAAGCAGCTGGTCACTCTCATGGCTTCCACCTCCTGATGCTTAGCTGGCTGCAGTTCTTTACTGGGGCCTTTTCTTGCATGCTATCTTCCTATGCAGCCAGTGCAATCTCCAGAGAGTACAAGGTTTTCAGTTATTCTACTAATGCAAGTGGGTGCTGCTCCCCATTCACTCCATTCCAACACAGCACACAAATGTGGGATCAGAAAGAAATAGTAACCTTCAGAAATCCTGCTCCAACACCAGTGTGACTGTATGATTGGCACTTACTGGCATTTTTTATATTAACCTTTTTAAAAATTGCTATTATAAGCAGTGGAGTGTCTACAGTGATTTTCCAAATGCTTTGATAATTTAAAGCATTTATTTGAAATGTTTTTTTGCTTTTATTCTAATAGTATTAAATTGTTTAATAAATTGATTGGACAATTTTCACATATGTTCCCAGGCATGTGAATGGTCAGGAGAGAAGTCAGGAACACTCTCAAGTACTGAATTTTCTGCTATTGAAAAAAGAAAAGCAGTGGAAAATAAATTCATATGGACGCTGGATGAATGCGCAACATTTCATTTCCACAACATCACTTTTTCTCTTGCACATAACCAGTGATACAAGGATGTGTGCAGATAATACATCCTTTATTTTCTTTGCTTGCTTACTGGACCCTGTCCACTGATGTCAAGTACATTTTCTAGTCATTTCTATCTGGCCTA